CGTCAGGGAGCGTCATCAGTGGCGCACGAGATGCGGTGATAATGATGTAAGTGACGTTGTTGCATTTTAATGTTTTGTTAGTCTAGCCCACGAGATGCGCCGCTGTTGTGTTATGCATTCAAAATATTAGAGAAATATAGAATCTCAAATGCGGAGATCTTGATTAGGTGAAAACTGAAACCAAGCCATTCACACAGAACGCATATTTAGCGCATTTTGACGGACAAATATGACTGCTGCACTCGCGTCTCACACAAGAGATGTAGCCATGAAAAGTTAAAATAGTTTAAACTTTTAGAAAACACGTCGCGAATTTGTGGAGGTTTATTCCTTTTCACTGCGTCTCTTATGTTTTTAAATGCAATCAGCGTGATGGGCGATTCGGCTCTTTGGATTAAGCAATGCATGAATACATGATGCTGTTTTGTTCATAATTGTTTATGCAATTTACGAAATTATATTTGATTTATATGAGTTAATTTAGACGTAATGCAGGTTTTTTATAGACATTTATTTCCTTGCGTTAACAATTTAAATGTGCTGCATTATTTTGCTCATTGCGCCCTCCTGTGGCCTCGGGAGGCAAGCCAAAAGTTTCCTTAAAACCTTAATCTGCAAATAAAGCATTAGAAATTAGATATTTGTTTAATTTTTATTGTGTGTTTGACTGTTAAAACAAAATAATATTTGTTGTTTGTCCCAATAAATTGGGTTAATTTAAAAATACAGTGGTTAAATTAAAAAAACATCTCTGTTGCTCTTTGTTTTAAAAAAGGTTATAAAAAATGTCAATAATTATCTATACCGAACGATATGAAACATTATATCGTTGATATTATATCATTATATAATATTATATCGTCATTTTTTTAGCTATATCGCTCAGCCCTAAGATCATGTGACACTGAAGACTGGAGTAAAGGCTGCTGAAAACTTAGTTTTGCAATTGTATATAAATATAAATTGTATTTTAAAATAAAACACAAAGCAGTTATGTTAAACAGTAAACATATTTTACAGTATTACTGTTTTCACTGTATTTTTATCAAATAAATGCCACCTTGGTGAGCATAAGAGACGTCTTTCAAAAACATTAAAAAAAAAAAACTTAACAACCCCAAACTATTGAACAGTACATGTAAATAATTGCAGTATATACATCAGCAATAAATCAACTATTGAGCGTGTGCTTTCTAAATATTGGCAGCAGCCATTGAAAAACTAGGTTTTGAACATGTGTGTGCGTGTGTGTTTCCAGCCCAGTGTGTCAGTGTTAGATCGGTATCAAATACATGTGTGGATGTTTGGAGAGTAAGTGCATGTAACAGTGAATGAAAAAAGTATGAAGAGTCCATTAATGGATGGATTAAGTGTCAGGTCAATGCCAGCGCTTCACACAGGTCAAAAACAGCTTATCTCCCACACATAAAAACATGCTCGCACACACAAAAGTATACCAGGCAGCTGGGTTTAGCAGGTAATCAGAGTGGAGCAGAGATTGTCAGCCTGGACTATCTAAAAGCTTGATCCAATAATAACCATGCTGCAGGTGCCATTCAGATAACTCCTCGTGGGATCCCTCCATCATACTGACACGCACATATTCCCATTTTGAAGGGGTATGACCTTGTATTTCATATGCTTAAAATAGCAGTGTGTGATGCAGAGCATCTACAGCACGCCGCTAACTCAAAGCGCTTCAGTTAACAAAACAGTAACTTTTTTTCCTCTCTTCCCTCTCATCTATCATTCCCCCCTCCACCCCTTGCCCAAACACCAGAAGCGCTCTGATCTGTGGCTGTGGTGTGTCAGATTTAGATCGGAATACAAATGATGCCTGGAATAAAACACTCTTTGGCTAAAAGTGCGACCAGCTGCAGATTAAAGACCTCACTTCTGCACTTCCAAGAGATTCTAAACCCAGATTGAAAAAACCTTGACTTATATTTCTGGGGAAAATTGAACAGAAGTAGAACTGCCCCAAGGCATCGTCTGGTGTGTGGCGGGCGCGTGTGTTTGCAGCTTTGTTGTCGGAGCAGCTTGCCGTGCAAATGGCTGCTTCCTGAGTGCAGGACAACAAGTGTGTCCAGGTGTGTGGGCATCATCTGTGCCTGCGGGTAGGGTTGGCTGCAGAGCTATGCCACTGCCAAGCACCCATCTGTTTGGAAAATGTTGTGTAAATGTTGTGAGGAGGTTCTGGCAGTGGTATTTTAAAACCCACCTAAGCCCTGCTGGGTTTAGCTACCAGGTAGACTCAGATTAAAAGTGCTTCAGTACACTCGAGTTAAGAGGCAGGAGCCTTGTGTGTACGCACATAAACATACACGCACGCATCTGTGCAAAACAGAAGAGAGAAGACAATAATAATCCATTTTTGACAATCCTATTCCTATTAATGGAAAAACAGTCCCACCCTATTTTTTTCTTAGTGAACATCCTATTCGACTACACAATATCCCATTAAATACATATCTGCTCATAAGTTTACATGCCCCTTGCAGTATTGCAGTAACTAAGTTGTATCATAAAATTGCATTTTGTTATTTTTTAAAGCCCTGAGAAAGTTATTTGACTTAACAGATATTAGCATACTATAAATACTGTATAAACATATAAAGTGGACTACATCAATGTAGATTATGGGCAAGGGTCAAAGGTCATCACCAAACCTGTCTGGATGTATAATCACACTCTAAATGATATTTGCACTAAGTTCAATAGCGTTATATAGATAGATGCTATTTACACTAAATTAAAATAGCAGTATTTTCTTTGTACTACCTGTCAACAGATTACTGTAGATACTATTTATACATAGTAGTGACAGATACTTGAAAACGGGTGATCAGATCTGCAAAAATGTTGAAAACAACTGTGACAAGAGGGGCGGGGCCGAGAGCCATGGGAACGGAGCGAGGCCGGTGGAGTAAATGCTAATGCACGACACCTGCGCCACTCACCGGTCTCAAGTCCCACGGAGGAGCTCCGGAAGGATAAAAGGAGGAGTGACGACAGTGTTGGATGAGAGAGGACCAGGCCTGGATTTTATTTTGTTTTGTGTGCGGCAGTCGTCCGCGAGGGGCTGCCGCTTTACTTTCATTTTGTGTTTGTTTATTTTATTATTAAAGTTTTGTTTAAGTGTTCGCCGGTTCCCGCCTCCTTCTTCCCGAACTACGAACTTTGTTACAACAACGTTCCTCAAAAACATATAATTTAAAACAAAATGACATCTTTTTGCAAAATCATGAAGTGTAGATTTCACCATCTACAGTCCATACTATTACAAAAAGATTCACACTATCCAGAGAGAAAGGAATCCAGAAAAGGAGAAAAAAATAAATAATAATAAAAAAGGGAAAAGGCAAAAACAATGCTGAATTCTTCAAGCAGCCCTCACATGGAAAACAGAAAAAAAAAAAAAAAAAAAACTTACGATAAATCTGAGAAAGGTGTACTGGGGTCCACATTTCAAATTATTTTTGCCAAAAAAAAAACGATGTTCTCTCAATCTATGAGCATAATTGTATGTCACATTATGAACAAAATAAAATACTGTAAATAGCTCTTTGTCGTTCCTGCTCCTGAGGTTTCATTCAGCACGATGAGTCACAAAATCTTTCAGAGATTCAGA